TCTATCTCCCCAGGTTCCTTCTCAAGGAAAGATGTAGAAAATGTCGAAGGTGTCTGGGTTAGTCTTGTCTGGATCAAATTTTTTTGCCTTTTCATGTTGATAGGTGCAGTGGTGTGCTATTCACTCGTCTGTCAGCTGGGAGAGCTAAGACTCTTTCCACTTGGCTCCTGGCCTTTCTTTACTGGGACAACTGCGACCCCTAGTGGCTTGTGTTGGGCAATTGCATGTAGATTAGGTCTCTGTATCTTGCCGGCTGGTACGGAGGAAGCTCCCTTGCTGTGGGCGTGGTCAGCCTCAGGCTGCTACTCTGCTATGGTGGGGCCCTGGAGGGGTAATGGACGGGGGGCTGTTTGGCTGTTTACCTCCGTGAAGGGTCTCAGAGCTGTTGCCCAGGGGGTTAGTGTGCCCGGAGTTCCCTGGAATTTCCAGCTGCTGGTATGTGACCTGGGGTGCTTCCGTCCAATGGTGGAGTCCCTGTCCCTTTAAGACTTTCAAAAAGCACTCACTTTTTTTTGTCCCAGGTGCGCCAGCTGCAGGATCCACTCAAAGGTCTTACTGTCCTGCTTCCCTAGTTTCCAGCACCCCACACATGCACTGTGTGTCTGCACTCAGGTGCAGATAGATGGCTAGGGCTGGGTGTTTAGCAGTCCTGGGCTCCCTCTCCCTCCCCGCTCTGACTCCTCTCCTCCCACCAGGAGCTGGGGTGAGGCGCCTCAGGTCCCACTGGACTGCAGCTTGTATGTTACCCCTTTCACCAGGCACTGGATTCTCACAGATGTGGATATAGTCTGGCTGTTGTCCTGTGTCTTCTGGTCTCTTTTAGGGATAGTTGTATTTGTTGTATTTTCAAAAATATATGTTTTTGGGAGATTCCCACTGTCCTACTCACGCTGCCATCTTGGCTCCAAATCATCTACCCAGAATTTATTTTTGAGGATGGTGAAAACTATTCCTTCCATGTAGGTCCTTTATTGTCCCTGAGGAAATTCTCTATTTTTTCCTGAAAACATTTTATTGCAAATTCAAATCAGAAAGAAATTTTTGTGAGGTGTAAAATTTTGTAATAGTCTTGGGTTAATTCTGCATGAGGATCATAGTGTTTTGAAACGGTGTTTTCATATCTTCCAGTAATTTTGGGAAATTATTAGCCATTATTCAAATATTGCTTTGGCCTCATTGTACATATGATAGACCCTATCTCATGCATCTGTTTTCTGTATTTTTCATCTATATGTTGTTCCTGATAATTTCTTCTAACCTAGCTTTCAGCTTTCAAATCCCTTCTTCAGCTTTGTCTGTTGCCAAATCCACCTAATGAATTCTTATCTTCAGTTACTGTATATTTTCCTGTTGTAGGATTTACATCTAACATTTTAAATAGTGTCTATTTATCTGATAAACTTCTTTGCCATGAAATTCTACAACTTGTTGTCCAATTGTTAGAAACGTTAATCATTATTTTAAAGTTGTGCCTACAGTGCTTTTATGCATTATCTTATTTTCTTGGTTTTTCCTGATTTATTCTTGTTCTTCTGGAATGCCATGTAATTTTTTTTATTGAATGCTTTACTCTGTGTGAATAACTGTAGACATAACTTGATGCTCTGGGTGATTTTATCTTCTTAAAGAGAAGATTTATGTTTGCTTCTGACAGGCAAGTGGAATTGCACAGAGCACTCTAATTAGGGATTGAATTGATTAAAAGTTGGACTTCAGTTTTTCTAAATGCTGGTCTAGTTCAAGTTCATCCTTACTCCCATAATACAACTCTGCAGGGAACCCCATCAAAAATTTCAGGTACTTATTTAGGCACCTCTTCTTTGGTTGGCACTGACCTCTAGGTTTTGTCCCTTCCTTTCCCCAATCCTCATACATCTGGTGGATTGTGGTCAACTACTGAGCACACATGAAATGTCAGGATCACTGTTTTTGTACCTCCTCAAGTTTGTACTGCACTGATGGCTCTCTAGTGCCTTAAAATAATTTCTTAAATTATCTGTCCAGTGTTTCTAGCTGTTCTTGGTAGGAGGTTTGGTCTACATCAAGATAGGCTACCTTATGCAGAAATCCCTTTCTCAGTGTAATTTTAATTCTCATTTCTTTCATAATTAGCAAAGTGAATCATCTTTTCATGTGACAACAGGATATTTTTATTCCTTTTTTTAAAGAATTGTCTGTTAAATTTCTTGCTCAATTTCTATCTAGTTATTGATCCTCATCTCTATTTCTAAAAGTACTTTAATTATTAAAGATATTAACCTTTTGTCAATAACAGGTATAAATATTTTTCCTCAATTTGTTATACCTTTTTCTAAACATTTCTTATATTTTTTCCATCTAAAAGTTTATTATATTTATATATTCTCAAATATTTCCATTTTTTCCTTATTGCTTCTGTTTGAGGCATAATTAGCAAGCATTTCCTACTCCCAGGCTTAGAGAAATCCATCAATGGTTTCTTCTGTAATTGTGTTTTTAAGGAATGTATTGATGAGCAATTGAAAAACTACCCACTTTCAGAAATTGGCAATAAGAAAGGATGTGACATGGTGGAAGTTCAAGTCTAGTTGGAAGTTTCAAGTTTTGTTTTCCTTTCCCAACCTCATCCTCAGGAACCAATTTCTGGAAAGAACTCGTGGACACAATTACTTTCATGTTGTCCTTGAAGGGCTTGGGAGACTGAGAGTCATTTTTTTATTCTCATGTCACATTTTTCCTAACTTCTCTCATATCATCAATGTTACTTCTATATTGACATCTCCCAAATACCTACATGTCTAATGCACAGTTCTCTTTCTCAGCACAAGATGCAAAAGTTTGTCATTTCCATTTAAATGACCCTGCACTGCAGACTTCAAATATAAAATGGCTTTCTTCACTTCACCCAGTTTTCTTGCTTTATGTTTTCAACTACTGACCTCTCTACCATCCATCCACCAAAGATCAGAGATTGGTCACCTCTGAGTCATATTTCATGATTCTCAGCTTCAGTAAATTATTACCAAGAGCACAAGTTCTATCTTAAGGTACCTTTCTTTAAAGGGATTGTAAATTGGATCATTCCTCTACTTACTTCATCCTCACCAACAGGCACACCAAATTTACTATATGCCAGGCTCAAAAAAAGTTATGAAAATGAACTCAATCTCCCATTTTGAAAAAGCATAGAAATAATAAAAACTGAAATTATGAATTCCAGCCCTTTATTCATATTTACAAATGCCCTTGTTCTTCAGGTTTTGAAAACATAATAGATATTTAACTAAGAAATAAGATATTATTGTCCTTTGGATTATCTGGAAAATGTGTCACAATAAGAAAAATGATCCCTTTACTATTACATTTAAGCATGTTATACAGCTTTAGCTACAGCAAATGGATGACATCCTTTCTGAAGCTGTGCAAATAGAGAACAATTTCAACAGAAATTAACTAAAGACTGGATCCTCAGCAATCCAAAATGGCAGCATCTGGGAAGGTCTCCTAGGGAAGCAACTAAGCCATTCATTCATTTGTGTTTAACACAAAACCACACTGCCAGGAGAATGAGTCTCTCAGCTTTTAGGCATGCCTAAGGCAAAGTAGGTTTTCTTTTTATTGTCTCTTCAAAGGTTAAGCTACATAAATTCACATACACACAAATTTCCCTAAATTTAAATTGCACGTTGTTCTGATTAAACCGAGTTCCCCTGTTTTCATGCTACCAGATTTCTAATTTGAGAAATTGTGTATGTATGTATGTATATGATATCTCACAAATTAAAGAGAATCTAAAGATGACAACACTGAAGTATTCCAGTAACTCAACCCACTATTTCCTCCTTTAACCTTTTCTGCAAAAGAAGTTGAATCCCAAGAGTATTTTTAAATTGAAGAGGGCAGTGGAAGGTGACAGAACAATTGGCAGTCAGGCCGTTCGAGTTCTCTATCAATCAAGGACTATCTTCTCTTACTCTTTCAGCTCAAGGCGAGGACCCGCCTGGAGTTCCTGTGAAAAGTGAAGACTGTGGTGACACAGAAAATTCTCCAAGTCCTGATGGTAAAGTTCTGAGCTATTTGAGCTCATGCAGTACAAATTGAACACATTTTCTGTGTGTAATCTAGGATTAAGGGAGCTATCTATTCTATGAATCAACATTCCGTTATAACAAGGTAAAGTTCAAAAACCGTTTTCTGCTAGGAACTAATAAAATTGGAAGACTTGTATAAAAAAAAAACCTGATGCTAGCTGTTTTAAAACACTATGTGCCCCAGTTTAACCATAACTCATAATATTGCAACCCAGTGGGTAATTTCAAGGGCAATCTGGACTTAAGTCTAGCTGGTGAACTTTATGGAAATATCACTTATTTCTGTAAAAAGCGTTTGCCCAAAATACCCTATTACACTCAACATTCAGGGGAGCCCCAGCTTGATTTTGGACTAAAGTTTTTCTTGGAGTTTCATTACTTCTTCTCACTGTATCACATGAGATGGACTGGCCGACAACATAGTCTTTAAAAGCACTTTATAAATACACTTACAAAAACCTTTCTTTATTCACATCTCATTTTGAAGACATCTAAAGATTCTGAGCGTCAGGAATCTCTACATACCCTTGCCCCTGCACACAGATGTTACAAACCTTTTTAAATATCACTACTTGCACTAGAAAAACAATTACCTAAGAACATACGATTTCATAAATACTTGATTCCACTGGTGCACAGAGCTTAGCAGAACCAGAACTGGCCAGTGATCAGCTGTTCTGTGTATCTTGCTGAGTGGGTCATTTTAGCAAAAGGAAAGAAGCCAATTGCTCTGAGTTGACAGTGACCTTGGGAAAAATTCAGCCACTGGTAGAAGTTACTTGGTGGTTTTAAGGAGAGTTTCCTCTACCAGGTCTTCCATCCTGGTACAGGTTTATTATTACCTGAATTGCCTTTTGACTACCTAAAAAAATTTCTCACATTTTTGGAGAATTGCCTCCCTTAATTATAAGCCCTTCTGTACAAACATAGTTTTTTTTTTCTTATAGGTATGCATTACCTAGGAGAATAATGTTTTTAAAGCCCCAATCCATTGAAGGCTACTATATATTAATTAGTCAGGCTCGGTTGGATGAAGCTTGCCATACTGGGTGTAACACTATAAACATGGTTCTTTTTTTTTTAATTGTTATTTTTTTGGTATCCTTAATATATCAAACATAATGAACATCATTATGGTTACTAGACTCCCCACATTATATCAAGTCCCCACCACATACCCCATTAGATTCACTGTCGATCAGCATAGTAAAATGTTATAGAGACACTACTTGTCTTCTCTTTGCTATACTGCCTTCCCGTGCCCCACCACATTATGTGTGCTAATTGTAATGCCCCTTTTTCCCCCTTGTCCCTCCCTTCCCCCCCACCCTCCCCAGTCCCTTTCCCTTTAGTAACTGTTAGTCCATTCTTGGGTTTTGTGAATCTGCTGCTGTTTTCTTCCTTCAGTTTTTCTTTGTTCTTGTACTTCACAGATGAGTGAGATCATTTGATACTAGCCTTTCTCTGCCTGGCTTATTTCAGTGAGCATAATACCCTCTAGCTCCATACATGTTGTTGCAAATCATAGGATTTGTTTTCTTCTTTTGGCTGAAAAATTTTCCATTATGTATATGTACCACATCTTCTTTATCCATTCATCTACTGATGGACACTTAGGTTGCTTCCATTTCTTAGCTATTGTAAATAGTGCTGCAATAAACATAGGGGTACATATGTCTTTTTCAAACTGGGTTCCTGCATTCTTAGGGTAAATTCCTAGGAGTAGAATTCCCAGGTCAAATGGTATTTCTAATTTTAGTCTTTTGACAAACATTCATACTGCTTTCCACAATGGTTGAATTAGTTTGCGTTCCCACCAGCAGTGTAGGAGGGTTCCACTTTCTCCACATCCTTGCCAACATTTTGTTGTTGCTTGTTTTTGGATGTTGGCCATCCTAACTAGTGTGAGGTGATATCTCATTGTGGTTTTAATTTGCATTTCTCTGATGATTAGCAATATGGAGCATCTTTTCATGTGCCTGTTGGCCATCTGAATTTCTTCTTTGGAGAAGTGTCTATTCAGATCCTCTGCCCATTTATTAATTGGATTATTTGCTTTTTGTTTGTTGAGGTGCATGACCTCTTTATATATATTAGATGTCAACCCCTTATTGGATATGTCATTTATGAATATATTCTCCCATACTGTAGGATGCCTTTTTGTTCTACTGATGGTGTCCTTTGCTGTGCGGAAGCTTTTTAGTTTGATGTAGTCCCATTTGTTCATATTTGCTTTTGTTTCCCTTGCCTGGGTAGATATGTTCATGAAGAATTTGCTCATGTTTATGTCCAAGAGAGTTTTGCCTATGTTTTCTTCTAAGAGTTTTATAGTTTCATGACTTACATTCAGGTCTTTGATCCTTTTCGAATTTACTTTTGTGTATGGAGTTCGACAGTAATCCACTTTCATTCTCTTACATGTAGCTGTTCAGTTTTGCCAACACCAGTTGTTGAAGAGTCTGTCATTTCCCCATTATGTATCCATGGCTCCCTTTATCATCTATTAATTGACCATATATGCTTGGGTTAATATCTGGACTCTCTATTCTGTTCTACTGATCTGTGGGTCTGTTCTTGTGCTAGTACAAGTTGTGTTGATTATTGTGGCTTTGTAGTAGGGCTTGAAGTTGGGAAGCGAGATCCCCCTGCTTTATTCTTCCTCCTCAGGATTGCTTTGGCTATTTGGGGTCTTTTGTGGCTGCATATGAATTTTGAAACTATTTGTTCCAGTTCATTTAAGAATGCTGTCAGTATTTTGATAGGGATTGCACTGAATCTGCAGATTGCTTTAGGCAGGATGGCCATTTTGACAATATTAATTCTTCCTACCCAAGAGCGTGGGATGAATTTCCATTTATTAGTGTCCTCCTTAATTTCTCTTAGGAGTGTCTTGTAGTTTTCAGGATGTAGGTCTTTCACTTCCTTGGTTAGGTTTATTCCTAGGTATTTTATTCTTTTTCATGCAATTGTGAATGGAATTGTTTCCCTGATTTCTCTTTCTGCTAGTTCATTGTTAGTGTATAGGAATGCAACAGATTTCTGTGTATTTATTTTGTATTCTTCAACTTTGCTGAATTCAAATATTAGTGCTCATGTTTTGGAGTGGATTCTTTAGGGTTTTTTATGTACAATATCATTTCATCTGCAAACAGTGACAGTTTGACTTCTTCCTTACCAATCTGGATGCCCTCTGTTTCTTTTTGTTGCCTGATTGCTGTGGCTAAGATATCCAGTACTATGTTGAATAAAAGCAGGGAGAATGGAAATCTTTCTCTTGTTCCAGATCTTACAGGAAAAGCTTTCAGCTTCTCACTGTTAAGTACAGTGTTGACTGTGTGTTTGTCACATATAGCCTTTATTATGTTGAGGTACTTGCCCTCTATACCCATTTTGTTGAGAGTTTTTATCATGAATCGATGTTGAATTTTGTTGAATGCTTTTTCAGCATCTATGGAAATGATCATGTGGTTTTTGTCCTTCTTTTTGTTGATGTGGTAGACGATGTTGATGGATTTTAGAATGTTGTACCATCCTTGCATCCCTGGGATGAATACCATTTGATCATGGTGTATGATCCTCTTGATGTATTTTTGAATTCAGTTTGCTAGTATTTTGTTGCATATTTTTGCATCTATGTTCCTCAGGAATATTGGTCTGTAGTTTTCTTTTTTTTGTGGTGTCTTTGCCTGGTTTTGGTATTAGAGTGATTGCTGGCATCATAGAATGAGTTTGGAAGTATTCCCTCCTCTTCTACTTTTTGGAAAACTTTAAGGAGAATGGGTATTATGTCTTCTCTAAATGTCTGATAAAATTCAGCATTGAATCCAGCTAGTCTAGGAGTTTTGTTCTTGGGTAGTTTTTGATTACCAATTCAATTTCCTTGCTGGTAATTGGTCTGTTTAGATTTTCTGTTTCTTCCTTGCTCAGTCTTGTAAGGTTGTATTTTTCTAGGAAGTTGTCCATTTGTTCTAGGTTTTCCAGCTTGTTAGCATATATATTCTCATAGTATTCTGTAATAATTATTTGTATTTCTGTGGAGACCATTGTGATTTTTTCTTTCTCATTTCTGATTCTGTTCATGTGTGTATATTCTCTTTTTCTCTTAATAAGTCTGGCTAGGGGTTTATCTGTTTTGTTTATTTTCTCAAAGAACCAGTTCTTGGTTTCATTAATTTTTTCTATTGTTTTATTCTTCTCAATTTTATGTATTTCTTCTCTGATCTTTATTATGTCCCTCCTTCTGCTGACTTTGGGCCTAATTTGTTCTTCTTTTGCCAGTTTCAATAATTGTTACTTTAGACTTTTCTTTAGGGATTGTTCTTCCTTCTTTAAATAGGCTTGGATTCTATATTCTTTCCTCTTAGAACTGCCTTCACTGCGTTCCACAGAAGTTGGGGCATTGTGCTGTTGTTTTCAGTTGACTTGATATATTGCTTAATCTCTGTTTTAATTTGGTCATTGATCCATTGACTATTTAAGAGCATGTTGTTAAGCCTCCATGTGTTTGTCAGCCTTTTTGTTTTCTTTGTACAATTTATTTGTAGCTTTACACCTTTGTGATCTGAAAAGTTGGTTGGTACAATTTCAATCTTTTTAATTTACTGAGGCTCTTTTTTGTGACCTAGTATGTGGTCTATTCTGGAAAACATTCCATGTGCACTTGAGAAGAATATGTATCCTACTGCTTTTGGGTATAGAGCTCTGTAGATGTCTATTAGGTCCATCTGTTCTAGTGTGTTGTTCAGTGCCTCTGTGTCCTTACTTATTTTCTGTCTGGTGGATCTGCCCTTTGGAGTAAGTGTTGTGTTGAAGTCTCCTAAAATGAATGCATTGCATTCTATTTCCTCCTTTAATTCTGTTAGTATTTGTTTTACATATGTAGGTGCTCCTGTGTTGGGCACATAGATATTTAGAATAGTTATATCCTCTTGTTGGACTGACCCCTTTATCATTATGTAATATCCTTCTTTGTCTCTTGGTACTTTCTTTGTTTTGAAGTCTCTTCTGTCTGATACAATACTGCAACACCTACTTTTTTCTCCCTATTGTTTGCATGAAATATCTTTTTCCATCCTTTCAGTTTTAGTCTGTGTTTGTCTTTGGTTTTGAAGTGAGTCTCTTGTAGGCAGTATATAGATGGGTCTTGCTTCTTTATCCATTCTATTACTCTATGCCTTTTCATTGGTGCTTTCATTCCATTTACATTTATGGTGATTATTGATAGGTATGTACCTACTGCCATTGCAGGCTTTGGATTCGTGGTTACCAAAGGTTCAAGGGTAGCTTCTTTACTGTCTAACCATCTAACTTAATGCACTTTTTATGCTATTATAAACACAGTCTGATAATCTTTATTTCTCTCCCTTCTTTTTCTTCCTCCTTCACTCTTTATATGTTTGGTGTTTTATTCTGTACTCTTTGTGTTTCCCTTGACTGATTTTGTGGATAGCTGATTTTATTTTTTGCTTTTTGTTGGTATTTGGTTGGTCTACTTTCTTTGCTGTGGTTTTATTTTCTCTGGTCATATCTATGTAGCCTTAGGAGCACCTCCATCTAGAGCAGTCCCTTTAAAATACAATGTAGAGATGGTTTGTGGGAGGTAAATTCCCTCAACTCTTGCTTATTTGGGAATAGTTTAATCCCTCCTTCAAATTTAAATGATAATCTTGCTGGATACAGTATTCTTGGTTTGAGACCCTTCTGTTTCATTGCATTAAATACATCATGCCACTCCCTTCTTGCCTGTAAGGCTTCTGCTGAGATGTCTGATGATAGCCTGATGGGTTTTCCTTTGTAGGTGATCTTTTTTCTCTCTCTGGCTGCTTTTAACACTCTGTCCTTGTCTTTGATCTTTGCCATTTTAATTATTATATGTCTTGATGTTGTCCTCCTTAGGTCCCTTGTGTTGGGAGATCTGTGGACTTCCATGGTTTGAGAGACTATTTCCTTCCCCAGATTGGGGAAGTCCTCAGCAATTATTTCTTCAAAGACATTTTCTATCTCTTTTTCTCTCTCTACTTCTTCTGGTACCCCTAGAATGTGAATATTGTTCCATTTGGATTGGTCATACAGTTCTCTTAATATTCTTTCATTCCTGGAGATCCTTTTATCTCTCTCATCCTCAACCTCTCTGTATTCCTGTTCTTTGATTTCTATTCCATTAACAGTCCCTTCCACCTCTTTCAGTCTGGTCTTAAATCCTTCCATTGTTTGTTTCATTTCTGTTATCTCCCCTCAGAATTCATCCCTTTGCTCTTGGATATTTCTCTGTAGCTCCATCATCATGCTTATGACTTTTATTTTGAATTCTTTTTCAGGAAGATTGGTGATTTCAGTCTCACCAGTTCCTCTCTCTGGTGTATAAACATGGTTCTTAACTAGTTCTTTACAAAACATGTTCTGAAGAATGCAAGGCTCATACAATGTTCACTGAATAAAAAGAAAATAAATGTGGCAATTATTACGTTTTAGTCCTCACTTAGAAATCCACCATGTACAATAAAGGCTCTCAGAAGTATTAGCTGTGAAGAAACTTATTAACATGGTTTAACATGGCTTTTCCCAAACCTATGTGATCCTGGAATGTTTTTTACACTATCATTTATTAATAAGTTTTGCAACTAGTACCCCCCAGGTTGGCAGAAGAAAGAAAAAAGGAATGCTCTCCTACTTTTTATTATGCACATTCCCACACTGAGATGGGTAAACTTACAATGACTTTGTAGCCCAGGATGGAAGGCACACACATTATTCTCTTTACATTGGTAGAGTTGCTTCATCTAGGCAGTTGATACCTGGGGCTTAGAACAAACTCACACATCACTAGAAACCAGCACAATTTGCAAGTGGAACAAAGAGAACTGCTTTAAAAACTTTCCTCCTTAAGAAGGAGATGGGTGGGGGGGTTGTATGCCATACAATGTCATTCCTTCTGTCAAGCTCATTTGGAGTGGGAAAGCCAGCATCTGCCAATATTTTACTTTAATCAAGTTTTCATGTTGAAGATAAAGATTTAGATTGTTGATTTTGTGCAAATAAAAGAAGACTACCCAAATGAGAACAAACAGAGGCTATCTATTCAGAGTTTACCATAGCAAGGTGTCATTCATTATCACTTGTGTGTGGCCAACTCAAAGGCAGGCAGGTAAGTGGGAAACCTTTATATTAACAAAAGGGAAGACTTCAAGCATTCTCTGACTTGAAGCTGGACTTGGGCTAACTAGAAGTGGGTGATAGGTTTGAAAACATATTCGGCTTTCCCTGGCTGGTTCTGCATTGAAAGCCCATGGGGCAAAATTGAACAAGGCCGACATTGCAGACCAAGACTGGATCATTCTGAGCTGAGTGCTGCAGAGCTTTTGGTTTGGACACCCACACCACTGGCTGCAGTGGCTTTAAATCAGAGTTCTGTGTTGTATATGGTCTGGTCTTTGTCTATTTGCATATTCAGTCTCTCTATTTATAATATGGGCTTTAATGCTTTACAAATATCAATCTAATTAAACCTACTGACCCTTGAAAATTTCCAGAGTTACTGCTATGCCTGCTCTGGGCTACTTCTGAACAGTGGCATTATTTATTCTATTTTTATGCAAATCCTCACATAGAATAATACACACAAAATAAAAGCACATCTTTTATCATTGCTGCATGATCTGGTTAGATGCTTTGCTTTTCTATTTCATAATGTCCACTCTCCTGCACCCATTGGCAAGTTTACAGGGTCTTTTTCAAATTACAGGATTGAAAACATAGCAAACCAAACAAGCCTACTGACATTGCCATTTTATAGGAGCAGCTTAACTCCCTGCATATCAATTATCTGTTTTGCTTTGTTTTCTCTTTATTTCTGAAGATATCTATTAAGGTATTTGAAATGACCTAAGGATGGTAACAAATATACACAAAATGTCAACCCATGAATCTGGTGTGAAATGACAACTCAGCTTCTACAGTTCAGTAAAGAGTCAATTCTGCCCTTACCCTCCATCCCACCTCCCCCAATACAAGTCTGTTTATGTATCAAGAATTGTCCCCAAATCTTGAAAGACTGAAAAGAGGTATGAGATAGGAAATGAGTAAGGTATTAACTTACAGGCCATTTTAATGCATTCAAGAGATTTGGGTTTAATAAATATTTAACCTGTTTTGTTTTCCTTTCCTGTTACAGTTGAAATGAATAGTCAGGTTGACATTGTAAATGACCCAACAGAGATTCAGCAAGAAGATTAACTAATAGGTAAGTTGCCCCTGTAGTGGGATCTCCAATTGATTAAACTAGCTGTAGGAACTGTTTGTAAAAGGTATACTGGATTTCATTCAGCTCCACCAAGTCCCACAGCATGGCTCAGGCTAAACTTTAAAAATCTTTATACCAAAAAAACACAGCATAAGGAAGAAGGATTGCCCCTAGAAGCTAACCATTTTTAGGGGTAAAAGATAAGCCACAGCATATCCTTGTCATGCAGTACCCTGATTTTCTGAGCTTTGACACAAAGCAATTTTCCATCCATCTCACCCCCTGGTCCCCTGGGGTAATCAAATTATTTCACCAACCCCAAGGTGATTCTGAAGCATTGCTTTTCCAGAAGCTACCTACTGAGTTGTTTAGTATATCTGTTCTAAATCTTTGCCCTGGAGAATTGTGGACAGGCACCTGAGTGTGTTCAGGCAGAAAGAAGGCTGACTCATGTCCTCTCCTCACTACCTGTGGACCTGTGTATCTGCACTGAGGTTTGTTGAGTTAAGTGAGCCTCAAGGAACGACAGAGGAAAATACGAAATCTGGGCTAGATTGTGTTTAGGAGATTTTTTGGAACAACATTCTAATTCTCTCAGCAGAGGCTGAAGTATATCTAGAATGATGAGGGGTCTGTAACCCTTTTCCATATCTTGATGGCTGGTGAGCAAAATTAGAGGGAAAGAGTCAAGCTCATTATTCTGATTCCCAGCTTAAAATACTAACTGTGTGGAATAAATTGTGAGTCATCCAGAATAAGACACAAATGTGTTGACACTGCGGATTCCCAGCACCTCGCTGTCTGCACTCCCTTCATCTTCTTGGCAGGCCCCTACGCTCTCTCCCTGGCCATGTTGCACCAAACCCTTGAGCTCCAGCATATGTCAGAGTAAAGTTCAAGAACAGGTGAAAGTAGGCAACTGCCTTTCCATCATGGTCATGAACATCATGTAAAACTAAATATAACAGCACTTCTGTAATATATGTATAGCATAGAACTGCCAAAAAATATACTCTTACAAACATGGTCTTATGAACATTTCTTTTTTCTAACCTTGTTCCTGTATTTAAAATGATCCTGCTAAGCTGCAGAAATGAAATGGTTGAGGAGTTTCCATTAAAAATTAATGAAGTGAAACTGATCCTGAACAATTTCAATGCAGGGTCCCTAGTGTTGCCTTACCTTTTGCCCTTTCGTTGCCAACAAACTACAGACTTGTTGAGGTATTTTCTTACAGACACTGTTATTTTACTCTGCAATTAATACCTAGATATAGTACTAGGGTAAATGTTTACCTTGGTTAATGTCAAAATATTTTCCTTGACCATAAACATGACTTTATACCTTTACCCAAATGAAAAGTTGTCAAAAATTGAAGTTCAAAATTAAGGATACTCAATTCCAGGAAGGAGAAATGACTTGCATGGGATCATTTGTCAGATCAACAGAAGTTCAAATGCTCCCAGCATGAAATGCTTTGATGACACCATCCTGCTTCCTAAATAATAGTGAGTTTCTGATCACAGGGATCACAGAGAACAGTATGACTGGAGGAAATTCACAGATTCCCACAGAAATATTTACACAGCTGGGTTTGTAGAGGTCATCTGATCAACAGGGAGAAGAAAGCTTTAATTCTATGCATCACACCTTCAAGGAAATTAAGTACAGCTAAATGGAATTAGAATCACAGAGTCCAAAGGCATAATGCAAGAATATTTAGTGTTATGTAATTTATAATTATAAAAAAGAGTATTATAAGACAATAGGAGAATGATTCAAGAAATCAATAGAACACTCTGTCAATGTAAAACTAATTTTTCAACAAGTGTTTGAGGGCATATAAGGATGAGTATGGAATCTGAACCTTTGGAATTAGAGAAATGTTTGCATTCTTAGAATGCTTGCTCTTGGAATCCAGCCATCATGTAAGAAACTCAAACTCTGCTATAGAATAAGGAAGGCCACACAGAGAGAGATTCTAGAAACTGAGAGGCCATTTTGGACATTTTGGCCCCAGTGGAGACAACCTGGAGCAGATGAACTGCCCAGCTAGGTGCAGGGTAGATTACACAACTATGAGAAATAATGAATCACAATGTCTTTAGCCACTAAAGTTTGGGGTGGTTTGTTATGTAGCAATTGGTAACTGAAAAGGTAGAATAATTCAGTACCGCTCCTAATAAAAGTGTTCAGAAATGAGAGATTAAACTATAACAAAAAGTATTTTTAAAAATCATAGCTCAACTGACATGAAATCAAAGATGCAAAAGATGGAGAGGAATTTGAGAACCAAAGCAATAATCTGGTGACCTAAAGATGCAGCAGCCCCAAAGGCTATGGGTTTGGTTTTTGATGAAGAGACAGAATCTATGGCTAGAGACTTGCATCCCAGTGTCCACCTGGGCCCTCAGTCAATAAAAGTAAGGAGTTGGAACAGATACCTCTATATAAATAAATCTGGGACCCCCAGCTCAAGAAACTAACAAGGAGACTTGTATCTGCCCAGGGTGCTGCATGAGGAAAGAAAAAGACTCCATATATAGAAAACACAAATGACCATGAATTTGAAACACAAATTTATTTTACCTGAAGTCATACAATAATGCAAAAACAGAAATTAATGTAAAAGTTTATTATAAATCCATGTTATCCCATTTATAGGTATCAAACAGAAATGTAAAACTATTATTGGAATCCTTACAGTTAGTAAAAGTTTTCTGAAGAGTTCACCATTTCAAGACTTACAGAACACACAAGGAAATTATCCACCATGAATGAGAACCAGTGGGTAAAATTATAGTATGATTAGTACTATGAGAACTTGTGAGAGTAGAAAATTTTGAAGATTTTATAAAATAAATACATTTAAATGACAAAAAGATAAAAAGCAGATACAACTTTATATGAAAAATTAACAACCTTTTGGAAGAAGCAAATGAGTATATAGTGATATAAATGACACATGGGGGATAGAAGGAGAATAATCAAAATGTTCTAAAAAGAAATAGTAGATAGTATTTGAAAGATAATGACTCAGGATTTACCAAAATTGATAAAAGTCATGAATTTCAAGTTAAGAAGAAGTCACAAGAAGGACATATGTAAACTAAATTTACAGCTAAGTGCTACAAAACACCAAAGACAAAGAGAAAACAATTAAAACAATTAGAGAGAAAGAACATTTAACCTACAAAGAAATAACAGCTACACAGACAGCAGGCTTCTCAACATCAAGAATTTAGGTCAGAAGATAATGTAATAATTCTGACTCTTCACAACGTGAATAAAAGTAATGGTCAATATAGTTATATACTAATTTCACTGACTTTTAAGAAAATGGTATCTGCCACTTTTGTAAAAAAGAGAAGTTTGCTATCTAAATACCCTTTTTTTAAAAGCTACTGGAAGATGCATAAAAGTAAGTAGGAAATTGAACCCAGAGGACGGAGTTGGCTACAGGAAGCAATTATAAGCCAAGAAAAATGGTAAACACAAAGAAAAATCAAACTATATATTGACTATACATTTAAATGGTAATTAATTGTAGCCATTTAAAAAGTAGGTAAACAAAATTACTATTTATACACATTTTTATAATATACAAAGTAATACTACAAACTTTCCATTATGCATATGTTTTGTAAGTTTACAAGTACAGAAGTATAAAAACATACAAGTTGTTGATTCACACTGATATTAGGATTTAGTAATCTCTGGGAAGGAAGAGTAATTTGTTGGTGAGTTTATCTATAAATACCTCAATCTATATGTACTGTTTTATTTTTTAAAGTAAAATAAAATCACAAAGAATTGTGAACATATTAACACCCTGATTCTAGAAAGTGGTAAGTTCTATGTATGTAATACTGCAGTCTGTAATTTTCTTCATGTTTGTAATTTTCACTATTAAAATTAAAATTATGATTGTATATATACATACAAAAGGTATAGAAAAATGCTACAAGCAAACACCCCATAATATTAACTAGAGAAGTTATTATGCAGGATCCTTCTTCTCTTGTATTCTGTTAGATATTTTAAATATTGTCTACAATAAGCATGATATTTCATTTATATACACACTTTAAAGAGTTTAAAGTGTTTAAAGAGTTTAAAGGACACAGAGTAGAAAGTTAGCTCAGAGATCATCTGCTCCAATTTTTCCTTGTGCTGATGCAGTAATTTATGGTGATAGAAATCAGATCAATTGTAGGTTCCAGCAAGAGTGGAGTTAATAATTGGGAAGGGAATTTTCTGGGACATCAGGCATGTTTTGTATCTTCACAGTGGTGTGGCTTAAATGTATGCATTGTTCAAAACAGATTCAAGTATACTTAAGGCTTACATTTCCTCATCTGGGGATTATATCTTCATCTTTTTCATCTAAAAACAGAGTGCAGGCTCTTCTAAGGCATGGTACCTTCTCAGGGTTCTCTCATGAGTGGAGAACACAGCAGATACTTAATAAGCTAAGATCTCAAAGTGGTGGGATAACCATCAGTGTCTTTTGCAAATCAGCATTATATAAATTGCAATTAGTATTTACATGTTGAGCCCTGGCAACTGGAGTGGATGAATGGGCTCAGGGAGGACACATCAATTCAAGATTAGGTTTTCCAAAGAATGCTTTGAAAAGTTGGGTTAATTGTCCCCATCAACCAAAGCAAGGTTTCCATGTGGCACACATTTATAAACAGTGATTTGTATGCTCTTTAAAGACACTCTGTGCCAGCAATTAAGTTTATATATCCCAAGCCCTGATAGTCAAAGAGGATATTCCTAGGCTTACTTGACAGTGAAGAACATTAAAACATTTAAATCTTTTTAAGATATCCCTTGCTAAACCTATGAAGGCACCTGATCTTTAATCTAACAAATGGTTTTCCTTGTCTTCAGCAGGGGCACAAGATGAAGCAAAGGAACACAGAATTGGCAGCAAATGACAGTCCTCCGTGTCGCAGGCCTCGCCCAGCCCTAGGGGGTGGAAGACAGCCCCCTGTGCTGTGAAGTAGGGGGTGGGGGGTAGGCAAGTCCCACAGAAGGCCAGTGAATCCTTTGCTTTAATTTCTCCAGTTGCATTTTGTTCTGTTTACCTGCAAAAAAAGAAAGAAAGGAAAAAAAAAGAAGTTTCTTTTAATTTGGGGAGGGGACCCCCGTCAATGCATCTCTCAGACGCTATCCCAGTAACTTCTGTCTTTTTTCTCACAACTTGGCCCCAGGGTCACAGTGACATATGCCCCATTCACATGCGTATCCTGGCCCCTGTCTGCTTTCTCAGTTATTTCACAAAGCTGGTCGATACCAGTGGTATCTTCAAAGGAAATGGAAGATGACTGGTAAACCTCAGGCTAAATTTCAGGAGTCATCAAGCCCAGAACCTGTACACTCCACAGACAAAGGAGGCGGGATAGAAAAATGGAAAAACCCTCGGAAATCACTTGGCTAGTGGTCAGGACGTTGAATGGAACATGATATTTGATTTAGGGATTCTCAAGGTACAGTTTTGTTTTCCACACAGTTTGTGAGGGGCATGGAAGCAGAATTTAAGCCAGGGCAGAGCTCAAAGGCATAGCAAGGAAGCGCTCACCTGGTTCCTGAGGTCTTTACTGTGCACTTCAGCATGGAGCTCACCAGTGACGTGGGACTCTGCAACACAACTGTACGGGGTGGAATTTTTCTAGGTGTTTCAGTTAAGAGAGGAGGCTGTTGCATTCAGGATCCAAACATATGCCTATGAATATTAACAGTTCCACTTGAAATCTCTCTATTTATGCTTTTCATAAAAGAACATCCTATCTTTACCCGAGGTTTGATGACCCACAGAGCAGATTCTCATTTGAAATTAGAGGCAATTAGAGATCTTGCTTGCAATTCTAGCTTCCTAGTTTGCTTTTAAATGGCTTCCCGGTTTATTTCCTGCCAAGTCGGTGACTAATTTGATAGCTGGTCCCCTCTCCCAGCAAACCATTGATTATGGTCTTAAAGCAGTGAAAATACCGGTGGTGCAGTGGGCCCATGGGGTGAAAGGCCCAGGAGAAAGTCAGAAGTCATCACAGAGCCAACACAATGACCGTCAGTAGGCAGATGCCTGCTTCCCACAGCCTCCCTGGGTTCTCAGGCCAGTCTTTTTTTTTTTTCTGTGGAAATTGATATCATTTTTTGCACATCTTCTTAAATCCATCTTTCTTATAAAGGATTTAGAACTGTAAGTTATATATTTTTTATTAGTAGAATAAGAAAAAGGAATGGGACAAACTGAGTATTCTGAAAACAAAAGGATATTCTGCTTTCTAAATATTTCATGGAGTTCTTAAGTTTTATTCTTTCCTTCATGGAAAATACATTTTCTTATCCTCCTATGAACTTTGTTTTGGCTTTCGGAATTTGTTGCCCCTGTGGATGGCTTATTTGGTATATTGAAATAATTAGCAAGTTGTACTTCTAAATATGCAATGTATTTTAACATCCTGAACTTTTTTCTCTTTAAAGCTGATCACCAACTTAGCAGCCATGATATTTATTTGACCTTGTGATTTTGGAACATGGCCACTTCTTCTTCTGTCATATGGAAACTTACTTATCCTCTACTGCCCTGAGACATTACTTTATAGAAAACAAGGAAAAGTCTCATTTTAAATAATTCAAGAAATTATGCCATACAAATACAGATAGTTTCTCTATTTTGTGTCATTTCTTATAACTTAATTGAAAGTCACCATCATTCTTGTGAAGCACTTGATAAGCACGACTTGCCTGGAGCACATTTTCTGTGACTCCCAAATGTTAGCGCCACTCGTGCCCAGTAATGAGTACAGTTGTAAACAACATGAGGGAGACAAAGGGGATGGAGATTTTTTTAATGGACAAAGATGAAAGAGATCTAATGGGCCTGCTAGGAACAGTAGGAATTTGAAATTATTTCAGTCCTGGTGTTTTCTTTATCATCAGTGAGAGCCATGTTATCCCTTTATTTTAAATGCGGGTGGGGTAGGAACGGGAGGAGGGAGGTCTCTGCCTGAAACTGCAGAAAGAGAAAGCAAGCTTCGTATCCAAAGCGAATGAGGACTAAATATCATCAGCCCTACTCCTGAATTTAATTTTGTGATTAGATTGTGTTTTTATTTTTGCCTCATTAGGAAAATACATTTTCTTATCCTCCTATGAACTTTGTTTTGGCTTTCGGAATTTGTTGCCCCTGTGGATGGCTTATTTGGTATATTGAAATAATTAGCAAGTTGTACTTCTAAATATGCAATGTATTTTAACATCCTGAACTTTTTTCTCTTTAAAGCTGATCACCAACCTAGCAGCCATGATATTTATTTGACCTTGTGATTTTGGAACATGGCCACTTCTTCTTCTGTCATATGGAAACTTACTTATCCTCTACTGCCCTGAGACATTACTTTATAGAAAACAAGGAAAAGTCTCATTTTAAATAATTCAAGAAATTATGCCATACAAATACAGATAGTTTCTCTATTTTGTGTCATTTCTTATAACTTAATTGAAAGTCACCATCATTCTTGTGAAGCACTTGATAAGCACGACTTGCCTGGAGCACATTTTCTGTGACTCCCAAATGTTAGCGCCACTCGTGCCCAGTAATGAGTACAGTTGTAAACAACATGAGGGAGACAAAGGGGATGGAGATTTTTTTAATGGACAAAGATGAAAGAGATCTAATGGGCCTGCTAGGAACAGTAGGAATTTGAAATTATTTCAGTCCTGGTGTTTTCTTTATCATCAGTGAGAGCCATGTTATCCCTTTATTTTAAATGCGGGTGGGGTAGGAACGGGAGGAGGGAGGTCTCTGCCTGAAACTGCAGAAAGAGAAAGCAAGCTTCGTATCCAAAGCGAATGAGGACTAAATATCATCAGCCCTACTCCTGAATTTAATTTTGTGATTAGATTGTGTTTTTATTTTTGCCTCATTATGCCTTTTGGTTGCTATTTGGCTATGAGATTTTATGTTTTAAAACAAATACCGAAGTTAATTCCCATTTCAATAGTAAAATGTTAAAAAATGTAATGATTGGCCAGATCAAAGACACCTCAACACAGGAAACGTTTATCTAGCCAGTGATGTCATTGCACAGGCTGTACAATGGAAAATTTAAAAGGCTGGTTGATTATCCTGAACATGAATTCTGGATGTCAATTTCCATCCACCTTTAGCCAGGCTGTGTGGCATGAGGGGTTACAGGAGGGAGGGGGGAAAATACTCCCAAATTAGTCTTTTTTTGCAAGCAGAAGGTCAAAGTAGGCTTTCAACATGATGCAGGTGTCCACTGCTTTTTGGAAGTCCATGTTATGCCACTTTGCTTTTCCAAAAGACCTTCATTAGTACCTGTTTTTGTTACCTGAAAGAAATCGGAAGAGGATTTTTGCTTTTATGGAAGAAGGTGACAAGCAAAACCAGCATTCAGCATTTGTTTTGCAGTGAGCTGTCATATAAGTGGGGAGCTCCCCAAACAGTGAGAGTGACCCCATGAAGTTCCTTTCCCAGGAACCACACTCCATGTTTGAGCATCAAGCCATCATGGCTTTGAAGTGTGTCTGTGAGCATCTGCGCTTCTCTTGATTTATTTTTTGCATTGGTTAGCAAGATATGTTCTAAGGTATCAGAAGAGCTTAAGAGAGGCTATTTTTGGGGTGTAGGAATGCTCAAAAATTTTTCCACTTAAATTAATGGTAATTGCTTCTTTGCTTCATGCCCTTTCAGCTTATGAAAGATTTCATAGGAACGCTGTGCTTTTGGATAGCAGAGGAAACCTGTAGCTCTAATTTAAAAGGTACTCCTAGGAGAGACTGGGGGCTTTTCCTCTAGCTGGTAACTATGCAGATGATGGACAAGCCTTCTTTCATAAAAGCATACAAAGGAGGCATCCAAAACACTGTCTGTGATAGTGGGTCACATATTAGTCACCACAGCTAATTGTAAATCTTTCTATGAGACACTGAAAAGCCTCTTTGTGAATTAATACAGTTCTGCTCAATGCACTTGATTTGAAGTGACATTTTTCTGTTTGTGGTGCATGTCAGCTTTGCTTTGAAAAATAACCACTAGCAGAATATGTTCCCTATATTTTCTTGGGGAATCGGGTTTTTATCATATGACTCATTAAGGATTTGCCTTACCCTGACATTTGTGATATAAAGGAAAACCAGAAAAAAAAAGTAATTTTCTTGATCAAGATACATTTCTACTTAATGCAAATAAATGTAGTCTGTTGCTTGCAAGGGGAAAAAATTGTCTCCTGATATCTGGTATAAAATGCTAAATAGAATAATATGTGCCTCTTTTGTTAAACCAGCATTTAATTGCTGGGCTGCTTCTAAATCTGTTTGTTTCTTTTCATCTGTGCCATACACTAAGAAACTTAAACAACTGTTGCCTTCATACTATATTTGTTAGATCAGAATACAAATAAAATTTGTTTGACAGGATAAGGTAGAATTATCTGTGTTCTGTGAAATTTGTTCCTTAGCCATGAGCAATTAATAACCCAAAGTGTTCATTTACTACCATATATTTAGTTGCAATATGTGTATTTAAAATTATTTTTACATGTCAACTTAAATTTACCAATAGTCTTCCCTTACTAAGACTAGTCAATGGTTTGACCATGTTTTCCAAGATTAAACTATAGTGTAGTTTGTATGGAGACAGATCCCAATGTATACTTTTTCTCTGAAAACTAGGTAGCTAATTATTCTAGCAACAGCCTTTAAGGTGCAAGATAAAAGTTGTTGAGATGAAACCAATGGTTCCATGAACATTGGTTCATCCTTTGGGACCCATCATCCATTGCTGGAATTCATTCTGCGCATCTTTATGAGCCAGTCACTGTGCTGGCTGTGTGATCACCATGGCAATGATCCTCAGTCTATTGCTGATGGAATTATGGCTGAATTACACAATTGTCAAGAGTTTGGCAGTAGGTCAAAATCACTATGGGAAAAAAATCACTATGGGAAAAACTCAGTGGTCTTTTGAAAATGGTAATCTATATTCCCTCAAATTTAATTCCCTCCATCTTCTATAGAAGAGGTGCCATCAGGTTTACTGTGCTAGAAGACAATGAAAAAAGCAGTCAATTTCTTTATCCAACAATGCCAAAGACTTAATAGTTAAAGGAGAATAGAGTTTTTTAAACTGTCATACCAGAAGAACCTTCTTTTAGTAATAAACAAGGTTTGATGAGAAAAAAATCATAGGCAAGACAGTCTTATGCTACAATGGGCAACCTCAACACAAATACTTCAGACTGACAGTAAAGATAATTTGGTATGATTCTACCATTACCAGCTGTAGTTTTTTACATACATCAAACTTTGTTTCTGCCTGACTTTCATATGTTTTTCCCTCAACACTTCTGCCCCTTTGCCTTGTATCAATCAAAGGTGTCGCTAAATGTTGCTTAACTTTACAGGTGGTTTTCAGAACTAAAGAGATAACAATACCTATTTATTTTGCTCTTGTCAGGATGTGGGGTTTTGAGAAACAAAGTGCCTCCATTTCTTGGTTTGGAAAATGGAAATACTAATACATTCAGGACTTCTCTTACAAATTTATACATGGATAAAGTGCTAAGATACTATACTTTCCCATTTGGAAAAAGCACTTGGTAAATTACTAGTGTTAGATTCTGCTATTTGATACTGTAGGCAAATGGCCTTTTCTTGAGCTAAAGACTACTAAAAAAGTAAATGATCATTGCAATTGAGTAGTAACTATGAATCCTTTCTGCCAAAATTTGAACTAAATTTTAATTTAAATTGTACCCCTAAATTAAGGACCTATGAGAAAAAAAATTTGTTTTATAAAATCTAGAGAAGTGGAAGATTTGAGTTTCTTAAAACATGCACACACAAAATACTGATACAGCATACATCTTTTTAGGTAATCGTTTCTCTGGTAATAACCAGAGAGGATCTATGAATAAAGAAGAAAGAAGGTGCAACTCTTATCTCCTGAAAAGATATAGACTTACAAGGAGAAAATCATACCTATACCTCCCTCCCCTGGGGGTGCAGTATCCTTCCTTGCCCCACTGAAGTTGGAGTTGATGTAATTTGCTTTGTCTGATGATATGTGGACAGAAATGGCACATCACTTCAGGCAGAACCTTGAAGACATGCTTTTTCCCTCTCTACCACGATGACCAGCAACATCCCAGACAGGCTCGGTCAGCACAGAACCCAGAGCGAAGGCCTGGAGCTGAGTTCCAGGCAGCCCCATGGAGAAGGTGACATGAGCAAGATACAAACCAGTATTTTGAGATTTGGGCACCATTTGTTACCCCAGTATAACCTACTCTATACTAAGCACTGAAATAAAAAGTCCAAGTATCTGCATGGTCGGTCTCTCCAACTTCATCTCGTGTGCCTCTCAACTGGGCTCACAATGCTGCTGGCACACTGACCTTCTGTCTATTCCTAGAACAGGACAAATATTCTTTCCACACTCAAGAACCTGAAAACTCTGACTG